CCCCCCAAATTTGTATGGAATGTTGTACACGCAATTGCTTCATTCATGCGTAACTTTCTGGTTTGTTTTTATGTAATAATGCCACAAAGCACAGTTCGTGGTCTGACCGCTCTCCGTACTCCGCAATTTTATCTCACATCCACTGCATCTATTGGACCATCTGATTCTTTTGCCGAGGACTCTGCCCACGAACTTCGAAAGGTGTGGAATTTTTTTTAATAGCTCAACAATCTTTCATTTTCCAAAAAGGACTTTGCTGCATAGACTTAGTTACGCGGTTTCAATAGTTTCACACTTGCTCTTATGAATTAAAAAGCTTCTATAAATTTCACTGTCATTATTTTATATTCTTTGAAATTTCAAGGCCTAAACTACATGACAATATTGTCGCTCATATCTCAGAATCATGACACTGACAGTGCCATTGGGAGGATTTGCAATCGCATGAAATCCATTTCAAAATCCACAGAAATCTGTCCGATGGCTCAAACATTATTAGGATAGCCGACATGCGGAAAGGCATTAAGCTCGTGTCACCTGGTGAACTTCCTGCCAGCCTTGAAGATCCTGTGCCCCGATGGCTGCCCTGTCGTGAAGTAAACCCTCGCACAGCATGGGGTCAGTGCGACATGTCACTGCCAAGTACAGAGGAGTCAGCCCCTTCGTGTCCTTGTAGTTGGGTGATGCTCCAAGCTCCAGTAAAGTGGTGACAGCTTCCAGGTTGTTCCGTTCTACGGCACGATGCATAGCAGTAGCCCCATCCCGCGTACGGTAGTCGAGCAGAGCCCCTCCATTCACCAGTGCTATTAGCACTTTTCCTGGCTTCTTAATGCTGGTGGCCAGGGTCAGAGGCGTTTCTGCAAACGATGACACAATGTGAACCAGTCTTATGTCTAATGCCTACGCTACACTCTGTGCAACAAAAATCAAGTGTTTAAAATTTTGGAAGTGATGTCAGTGTCATAATTTCTGTCAATCACAATTTCTCTGCGTTTGACGACATGTGGTTTTCTCTACCTTCCGTTAATTACAATTGTTTGTGCCATAATTCAAGAGAGCAAAGATGCCAAAATGTGTGCCTAATTTGAAGGGGGAAAAAAAACATAAACTAACAATATTAATAAATTTTCCATGAAGTAGAACGAAGTTTCATAATTAAATGAAGGTGATGCTTTAACCTCACTTTGAGGTCCATATTCACCGGTAGCACAGCAGACTAGCATTAACATGAAAGTCATGTATGAGATTGGGTTGTGGTTTGTTTCTTTCCAATGCAAATGTTGTTGTTGTTGTTGATATGGCACCATTTTATCGACGATCAACTGAATCACACTCCACCGCCACGCACCTTCCTACATTTTATGTATTCAGGCGCTGACATGACCTTGCCACGAACTCAAGGATTGAGGTTCAACAGAAAACACCCTTTATTAAATCTTCAAAACAAAAACTCTTTCATATACAAACTTACGTTATGTTATATATGTTTTCTATCATTAGTCAGCCGCTACATGAAAATGACGTAGTTGAATGAACAGAATTCAGTCCAAATTTAAATGGAGACCCTTCATTTTGCTTGACTACGCACTGCAAAATTACTGTAGACACTGACACCATAATTATACTGTACGGTGATTGTCAGAAAAAGACCGAGGGCGTAGAGCGGCTTTGAAAACTGAAGTTGTTATTAAATTTAGGCATGGGGACTACCAGAAAGACAGCAGAAACCTACTTACCCCCTGTCTCATGACAGTGAAAGTTTGGGTCCAGCCCTTTCGAGCACATCTTCGTGATCTTCTCGATCTGGCCATTGGAAACATAATCAAGCAGACGGCGTAGGTTGGCACGCGTGTGCAGAGCCTTCAGCTGTTT